TTGTTCAAGTTAGTCCCCCATTTTTTAAATTAATATATTTTGACTGTTGCACTGAATTGTACTAGGTTTGTGCTCAAATATTAAAGCTGTAATGTGACAAACGCGAGAAAATAGGGGAAAAACGTTTTTTTATATCAGCCCATCACTTTTCGCTTTTTTTCCATTTTTTCATTGTACTCGGTTGTGCCAAGTTGTGCTAACATATTGTGCTAAAGCAAAGTTTAAAAGAAACAATAACGAAAGAAATTACGATAAAAATATAGTTTTAATATTCGAGTACGATTTAGCAAAAGTCTAGCACAATTCAGCACAACAGTCAAAATATGTTAAATTAAAAAATGGAGGACTAACTACTAACAGGTTCTGCAGACAACTGTGAACTGACTTTCCGAGGACAATTATTCATCATATCAATAGACATCTTTTACACATGCACACACACACACACATTTATACACATGCATTAGATAAACCTCGTTAGAGAAGGATGTTTATTTCAAGATAACATGTAATGACATTTATTATCATCTCATATTCACATTATTACTTAATTGCTTATTTTACTAAACGACTGTTGTATTTCAAGAAAAGCCGATTAGTGACGTAGAATAATTTGTTGTCTAGATGAACTTTGTGCATTTTTATCCAGCGATGAATAGGACATGTGGGAATAGAAAAGAATTCGATTTTAATTTCAGTGAAGAATAGTTGGACTGCTCCTTTTGAAATATCTTGGGAAACATATTTGGAACGATAAGTGAACTTTCATCCAAGAATATTTATTATAATGTATCCCAATAAGAAATAATTTGTCGAAACGATGTCAATTCGACATTTTCCGCATACGCCCCGGTGAGAAATAATTTGATATCAATCGACGAGTTATTTCTCACTGAGGCACCTAGTAAACATAGTTAAGTAACAGTTATGTTAATGTTATGTGATCAAAGTTAAACGTGTAATATTTGCAGAAACGTTACATAGCGTTACATAACGTAACATATATGTTAGTCCTTATTTCTCACTCGTGAATATGTAATATGTAATGTAACGATAATATAACATATAACATAATAATCCATTAACGTAACATTGTAATATAACTTGAATGTTATATGAAATATTACAAACAAGCAATGTTATAATAAAGTAACTTGCTAACTTAACATATACGTATTTCTCAATGTAACTCTCTGTAATGTACAGGTATTACATTAAAATAACAAGTTATGTTACATTAATGTTTTTCTAAATGTAACTATTGTTATGTTAATTGTTACTTCTATGTTATGTTAACGCTACAAAGTGTTTACTACAGGGAATAGAATCGAAAGAAAATTAATACTTTTAATTCGCTACTTTTGACCCAAGAAAATATTCCTTTTGGAAACAGTTTGACACCAAAATACATAAGATCTTCTCTCAGGACGTAGGTACGTCTCTTGCCGCACACGGGCGAATACTAATGCCAGTCTTTACCATTATTGTCTTTTATACCTATGCCGTATACGTGAAGGAGAGGTTTATTCAAGAATGACTAATCTCGTGTGCGGTTCAGGAGCGACTGTATTTCCGTAGGTTGATCGGATCGACATTCACATTAATCGTGAGATTTTTTTTTAATACATAATACAATACAATTATATGAACGCTAGTTACTTAACTATTTACTCAATTTAGAAAATTATCTCGCACCTTCGTAACTCTGAACGGGTTTCTTAAATCTGGTCGACCTTCGTAGAACTTTAGTCTGGGTTTTGTTTTGTTCGTGTTGTTTTACAAAGTTTTCAGTGTCGTTTACTGTATTACGCACAGTCGTCGGGTTTATATCGCTTTCGTTTAACTCGCGTCAGTGAGTTATCTGATCGTAATGTCTCTTATGTTCTCCTCCGACCTCGAATTGTATGATAAAACTTCTCGGAGAGACTTCACGTACTATGCTTTTGACATTTTCGCGTGCTGTTTACGGAAATCCTTCGCCATTACTAAATCTCCAGTTTTGAATTCTTCATCCCTATTACCTTTAAAATTTTGGATTTGGTTTTCTTGTTTAAATTCGATTATTTTCTTACTGTCTGGGCGTAGTAATTGCAAAAGTGTCCGTAATTCGCGATTGTACAATAATTTTGCGGGTGGTTCGCCTGTAGTTATGTGTTTCGATGTTCTATACGTAAACAAAAACTTATGTATTGCGTTTTGTACATTTACATTTTGACTTTGTACTATTGCTTTTATCTTTCTTTTGAATGTTTTAACGAACCCTTCTGCAGCACCGTTTGTCGCTGGATGTTTCGGTGCTGTGTACGTGTGTTTTATTCCTAACTTTTCAAAATATTTGCTGCATTCTTCGCTTTTAAATTGGGTTCCCGAATCGGTAACTATATGGAAAGGCAATCCGTGTTTTACAAAAACTTCTTTGAATATTTCTATTGTGTATTCCGCCGACATGTTTTTAACTATGTATATTTCGGGCCATTTAGAGTAGGCATCGATTAACAGTAAATATGTTTGTCCTAAATATGGTCCTGCGAAATCTGCATGAACTCGATATGCCAAGGTTGATTAGGGTATGGCCACGGTGAAAGTTTTACTCTTCTTGGGCTTCGACTGCGATACAATATTTACAATATTTTGCTTTGTTCTCTAATTGCTTGTCAATATTTGGCCACCATACTACCGACCTTGCATACTTTTCATTTTGACGGTGCATATGTAAAGTGAAGTATCAAAGTGAATCAACATCAGATCAAAGTCAAGTATCGAAATGAATCAACGTCTGGTCAAAGTCAATAAATTTAAAACAGTATTGAAGTGAATTAACAATGAAACAATAGATTTTCTATTGTTTCATCTTGCGTTTAAATCATTCGCTCGTATTGCGCTGTATTTCCGTAGGTTGATCGGATCGACATTCACGTTAATCGTGAGATGGCTTTGTACGCATATACTACAACCTATTTACTGTTATAATTATTCAAACAGCAGGTAACATTGTTACATAACGATTAATCTTTTGCTATTGACGGGTTAGTAGTTTTCTGTGCGTGTAGAAGAACATCAAATGTAAGAAACTCATATGAATAACGATGCTGTTCTATCCTAATGCAGAGAAAAATATAATATTTGCAACATTTCAATCTTTCAATACAATTATTCTGCAATATGTCGCAACATGTCTGTGATCCATGAAATCCTCTTTCTATGCTGTTACTACTTTTATTGAATTAAATTACGTACGTACACACACACACACACACACGCACGCACGCGCGCACGCACGCACGCACGCACGCACGCACGCACACACACACAAAGAAATTTATAACTTGTATTAGGATAAATTTATGTGCTTCGATTTAATATGCACATGTGCATGCTTATGCGTAATTTTTTCATAATTAATCACGTCTGCATATGTAGATAAAATTATATAACGATAAATATATCATACGTAGCGTGCATATCAATTACAATTATAGATAGTTGCATACGTAAATAAGTATGCCGACAAACACGTCAAACGTGTCCTTAATCAAATTGCTGAGGCAGCATAAACTGAGAATTATATCAATAAGTAGTAAAAATGTACATACATACCTTACATCTCTGTTGAAACTATTTTGCTAGAAGTACTGTGAAACTGATGAAAAGTGAAAAATTGCTGAATGTATCTCAAAAGGAATCATAATTTCCTTGATGAGATTCAATGTGATATACCGTGAAATATAAGGAAATTTAAAGTATACTGTTGAAAAGTAATTAAAACTTATATAATGAAATATTTTTTAAGAAATTTATTGAATATAACTAAAAACTGTGTTACTTTTTAACGAAAATTATTTTTTATTAAATGTTTACTGAAATTGGCTAAATATGATATAGAAATAGGGTCAATTGAGAAAGATTTTCATGAAATGCATTTAAACAAAATTTCATTATACATATTGTTAAAAGAATTTAGATTGCAAATTCAGGTTAGTCCTCTATTTCTAATAGCTTTTATTTTTGCATATGTCTTCACTACTAAAAAGGAATTTAAATCATTACAGATATCTCAGCTTATTACTAGATATTTGCTTATTAATTCTTCTTCAACGTACAAGTATGAAATGTAGTAACACGCATAAAAAAGTTCTAGAAATAGACACAGAAATTATGTACGACGTGATAATGATCGAACTGGCACAGGGTTTATCTTATCTCCGTTAGTGCAAAAATAAAAAATTGTATATACATTCATATACATATGTATATACCAGCAAACACTAAGCATCAGTTACATTGCATTTATGTTACAATTTCTCACTCAATGTAAATGTAATATAACATGTGTTTGTTGAAATTGTAACATAAATACAATGTAAATGATGCTCGGTGTTCACCGGGATGTATATTAAAGTTATACGTTTCATTATTCTTGGATAAAACTTTACTTCTCCTTCATAATATTTAAGATAAATCGTTCATTTTTATTTGGAATTGAATCACCTCTTATAACTTCTGGTCATGGTAGAGAGAAGCTTCCCTCTAGTCCTAGGTATAGTTCCCTAATAACTTTTACGACTTTTCGAGATTACTAAAAGACAAAGAAACTTGTTTTCTATAGCTGCACTAGTGAATTAACTATAGTGCAGCAAATTAAGAGATTTGTGCTACTTTTTCAACTTCTTCTCAAAGTATGTTTTCCTAATCATTTCTCGAAGATTTCAGAAGACGTGTAATCAAACTTTTGCTGAGACAAGTTAACTAATAGTTAAATCATATGTATGTCTTTGTTTTTCTTTTAACTCAGACGAAGATAGACATATAATTTAACTATTAGTTAGCTTACGAAGAGGTTGGAAAAACCTCTACTAAAGAAAAATGAATTTTTACAAATATTGCATTATTTCAAATTATATACATATTTATGTATATGTACACACATACACGCGCGCACGTAACAATTTTGAACTAAATATTTTATTCAAATAATTCTTTAAAATATCTCCATTATATACATATGTATACATATACGTATACACATATACATATTATAATAATACATGTGTATAATCCATACTTATTTTCAAATACTTCAAGGGATAAATGCATCGTTCGGTAATGCATATAAATTCAATTACAGTATAAAAAATAAATATATTTATCTATTACTCGACTTATATATAAACGTACAATATTATTATTAAGTTTTCAATTTATTATTGTTCCTTGAAATGTATCTAAGCTATAAAGTTAGATCAGTAAATAAATAGGAGTAATCTCGTCTTTTTAATGCTAAAATATAAATAAGTAATAATATAACAGAGAGTACAAAAATATTAATCAAAATGTGATGTATGTTCAAATTAACATATTTTTCTGCACCGATTCTCTTTTTTATCATATATTTTACGTTCTAGTCGAGAATTTATATCGCGAATATAATTCTATTAGCTAGATATCAAATTTAGTCTGAAAGAAAATCCTAAGTCGAGGGCAATGAATGTATATTACATATTTATATACAAGATATAATACAGTATATAAAATACGCGCAGTATGCAGACAGTAAGGTATGCGCAACATTACTGGCCAGCGCGTCTCTACCGACAAGGTATTATTAAATACCGATTTATGAAAGTTTTGATGATTGCCAAAATTTGAACAATTAGCCAACAGTACGTTAATAATTTATTATTTCCTGATTTAACTAAATATATTCCATAGATATGTATGCATCTACAATGCGATGGCTTTCAATTGTCATTTAACTTTGAAGGTAATCATCGAACAAGAAAAAAACGTAATTAAAGTTATGAAATGGTTTTGCACAAATATATGGTAAATATATGAAAAATATCGCTCATTTATGAAAAATAATAAGTCATGAACTAAATACTGTATACTGCATGGGCTAATCGTTCAAATATTTATATTAAACGAACAAATAATGTTATTAATGTTATTAATAATGTTTATACTCTGTAATCATTCCCGGTGGACCACTCAATCACGAAACTAATCGATTTACTCAGGGCTGGCTATCTTTAACAATATCTCGTCAATAGTATCGCAAAAGCGAAAAACGTGTCGTTGTAATTATCATACAACAATAGTGACAATATTTGTTGCTAACAAACTGCGAGCAGAGTTTTACTGTAATTTTGCTTCTTCCTTGACTTTCCAACGAATTAACTCCATACAAGCAACAGCATCTTCTTTACTGTCATGACCACCAACTAGGACACAAATTATTATTATTACAATTTATATTATTTTAATCATTATTAAATAATAATTAAAGTTATTAAAGTTATAAAATAATTTAAAAAAATTAAACTCACCGTCATTTTGTATGAGCTTTCTGAGATATTCGGAACTGAGATTTTTCAACGCCCTTTTTTGCGGATATCCATTCTTATGCGGAAACATGACGCTGGTATCCACGACGGTATCGTGGAGCAGCTTTAACGCTTTAAAATCACTTTCAAGACTGTGACCCACTAAGATCGTTTTATCCGAGAACATTGTGAGGAGCGTAGCTTGTACATCTAAAATAGTCGTCGTCACATCCATCATGTCTTCTTCTGTGATCCCTGAAAACCTATTATCGCATAGGAATATCATAAATCAATATTTCATCAGTCTGTATTCCAAATGACGTATAAATATGCATCTAATCAGTTTTAGATTCCTTATCACCACATACCTTGTGTTGTAATCAATTATTGAATTTTGCGGCTTAACTAACGTTTCGTATATCACCTTACAATCTTCGTCAATAATCGTCACTCTGGTTAGTTCTAAGCCTTGTGTAGTATAGCACATTTCACAGTCAAGTGCGTAAACACCTTGCTCGTCAATAGGAACATCTTTGCACATAGAAAAACAAATTAACATAATACAATTGAATGCATGTGGGAGCAGCGTAAAAATCTGAAAATACCTTTCGATAAGGTTTTAACGTAACCACGAAGATTTTCATAGTCCGTGTAGTCCCATACGTGCGTCTTTGCGTCGCAGCAACCGGTAGCGGAGCCGTATTGCTGGCAACAACTGTACTTGCCTTCTCCTCTAATTGTAAACTTTCTGCCCCAATGATATATACAATTCTGTTGCCTCACAGCAAATCCCTGTTTATCTATCATATACGATTGGCCACATCGGCTGCACATTCTTTCATTAGGCACTTTTGACAAAACGGTTTGGTTTCGTGAATTTATAACATACACCTTTGCTTGTCCCTGCAAGATGTAAGATGTACTTTGTTGAGGATAGAATGCTGCGACACCTCGATCGAAGGACAAGTGTCTCATCGATTTTGTATTGAATATTATCTTATCTTACTCCTTCCTTAATCCTATTCCTTCTAATAATCCATAGAAATAGATAGTAATTTCTGCATTTATATATTTTACTATCTGGTTTTCTTACCTTTGTACCATCAGGGTGTTTACGTGGAAACCCGTTGTCCCTAAGCTGCTGCTCCGACATGATCCACTTTTTGAGCATGTTGTAGAGCGCTGGTCCCTTAAAATCTGTCACGTTCCTCTTGATCTTGACAACACTCCAAGAACCTTTCGACTTGCCAACGAGAACAGCCTCGTGGGACACCATACCGCAGCTCGAACCAGCGATCTTCTCGTTCGATTTGCTCTGATCCACTTCCTTCCTTAATCTATGAGCCGCTAACATGCACGAGTTCTTGTACACCGCGAGCGCCTTGCATCTCTCGTGACACGCGAGTTCTTCTTTAACGGCTCGTTGCGCCGCATCGTCACCATTCGTATAAATCTGCACGCATATATCGTGCATTACATTAATATAATACTGACGGACGTTCAAGGGGAACTTCTGGGTAGCGACTTGTAGCGGTTCTGGACGCACGAGTTGAGGCACCTGTGTAAATAGAATTTTATTCAACACCCTGATCTACCCAGGCTCGGCAGGAAAAGGATGCGATTAAGTCACGGTACATTTTATAAACTTTACAATTAGAACTTACCACTTGCGGTATATGAGCGACGCGTACACCGCCCTTCATGGTCTGCGCAATTGTTTTGTTATCTACTCCCTTAGCATCCCCACTTTTCCCCGCTGTTTCTACCACCTTTTTCTTTTCCATCGCGAGGGATTTTGCGTACGGAACGTGAGCGATTCGAATACGACCTGTAACATGTTAAATTATCACCAAACGATTCGCCGTGAAATTCTGCAAATAGTGTGGATGGACAGATTCGTTGGATTCGTCATCCTTCATTTGTAGTGATGGCGGTATAGTTCAAGTTACTTGGTGTGAAGCCGTTAGATACAAATGTTCAATGGCCTAGTTTACATCGTACACTTGATACGCGTATCAAATAGTGTATTTGAACTGATCAGCCAATGACCAAACGAATTTACTAGTTATTTACTATTTGTTACTATTTGATACGCGTATCAAGTGCACGATGTAAACTAGGTCATTATCTAAGGAACAAATGTCTTTCGCCTGCTTTGATTTTTGACCTTCAATGGGAGAGCAGCAGCTCTTATTTACGACCGATATACGAAGATCCTTGAAATCGATCAATATTAAAGCATTCTAATTTTCAAACAAATAACCGTCAAGCAAAACATCTTATAACATTAAAGACGCGAGTCAGTCGAATCACTACAAATCAGTACATTTGTATATGTGCATTGATTGACAGAATGGTTGCGACATTTTTTTTTTAGATTTAGATAGCGTTCCAAAATCTTCTCCGAGGAATATCTTACTCGAGTCCAAAACCATTTTCAATCTACTTCTCAAGTAAAATTTTCCTCGGAGAAAGTGTTTTGGAACGTAAACCCGAATCTAAACGCGCGTTTCTAAACTCACTTACAAATAAAGTATTGCGACCATTCTGTCCATCACTGGTATGAACACTATGAACACTGAGGTGACACATGAGGTTTGTTTCCTGTTCCTGCACCGGTGAACTAGTGCCGTAAGCTAGAATGAGAAAAAATTTGCTTGTCTCGCTCTAATTTATTGCACTAGTTCACCAGTGTAGGAATAGAAAACAAGCCTATGGTTCCATCTTCCATCTTCAATCCCGACTCTCACCTGACACCTAACATAGGTATATGGTTTTATAAAATTAATTGTACACGCACCGGCATAAATGCTGTCCCTATCCTTGTGAGGTGCACGCACACAACTAGAGTCCCTGTAGTTGTGTGCGTGCACCTCACAAGGATAGGGACAGCATTTATGCCGGTGCGTGTACGATTGAAGATTGTAAGCGAGTCACAAAAGCCGAGAGTGTACATTTTAATTGTAGAATTATGTTACATGAATGACGAATTACGAATCGCGAAGTTTGATCGGTCAGATTCAAATATTCGATCAAGATATATCAATTTTTATGCATTCAACTTGCCATTCACGTTCAGCAGCGCATCACTGTTACTTATCGTTGAAGCAGACTCGTGTTCTCTGTGGATTGACACACGTTGCGCGATATTACTCGAAGACTGATCTGCTGACGTGACTGTAACTTGAATCTTCGCGTCGGCTGCCGCTTTCTCAGCTGCCTTCTCTGCGGCCTTCTCAGCCGCCGCTTGCCTCATCAAACGCCATCGCTCGTACATCTTTTGTTGCGGAGTTATAAGCTTTTTTGGTGGCTGACTAGGACCTAACTGTCTAGTGACACTTGTGGCCGCCGACGGATGCGCGACTCTCTTTCTACCGACTTCTTCAACATTTTCAGTTTCCTCCTTCAATGATTTCTTCACTGACACTAATTTCGGATAATCCGAGGCTTCGTATTCCTGCGAAATAAACAAATGTATACAACATAAACTGACTTTACGTTAAACAAGTGCGTTAAAAATTGGTACTTTCGCTAATAAAGTTTCGCTTCTTATCAGACAAGTCAGGGAAGTGCAAGTGCCACTAATTGACATTCATATTTCAATCAAAATGCAAGAATTAAGTGGCGCAGATGGTAGCAAACGGTAAATATAAACTGAACGTGGCACAGACTTCTCCAGAAAATTATTTTTCTCAAAGAATATATTTTTCTCCAGAATAAGTAAATATATTTCTTCAGAAAAATATTTACTGTCGCTTTACAAAGATGCTTCACCTGAAAGATTTTTAGGCACTCTTCTTGTACATCATGATCAGAATCTGACAATTCCAAAATCTCGTCGTCAACGAAAGAACGGATACTATCTACAGAATTGTCAGATCTATCGAATGAATTCCTCTCGCTGCTGCTCTCTTTGTGCTTGCCAGATTTTCGGGAAGAGTCGCTGGATCTCCGACTCGACTCCGAGCTATGCTTCCTATCGCTTCTGCTCGACGTATGTCTATTCGACTTGGACGAATTCGAGCTTGACTTCTGCTTGTCGCGCCGGCTGGACTTGCGATGATCGTCCCGCTCTTTCTTCGGCGAAGTATGTCTATGCCGCTGCGAGTGCTCTCTACTCCCATGCGACGAGTCTTTGCTGGCACGGCTGCTTCTTCTCCTGTCCTTGTCTCTGCTGGAGGAGGAACGGTGCTTATCTCTGGAGTCCGATTTGTGCCTGGATCGCTCCCTGTCCCTCTTCTCAGAGCTGCGGCGATCCCTCCTGTCTCTCTCCTTGCTCCTGTCCCGATCCTTGCGCTTCTCCTGCTCCTTATCCGCGTCTTGCCTCGCAGCGTCCTCTCGTCTCTTCGACAATGTTCTCGAATCACTCGCCTTGTGCGGTTTAGACCTGTCGCTACTTTTTATATCACTTTTAACATCGTAGTGATTGCTGTGTATTTTATTATCTTTATTGCTCGTTTGTTTGTCCGCAGTGTCGAGTCCCACGCGTTGGAGGTTCTCCTTCTCCTTCTCGTTTGCGTTCTCCTTTTGTTCAGACCTCTTCGCGCCGCGCTCGTCCGTAGACGCATCTTCCATAGGCTCGTCATCGGAGAACCTAGGTTCAACGTCCAAGGAATAATCTTGAGAATCCTCGCTGGCCGATGCTTTTGCATGGTCGAGCGCTATAGAAGTGGCGTGATTCGAAGTGATAATCACGTCCATCATATCGAACTCGGGCTCGTACTGATTAAATGTGGCGTCGCTCAGCTGCTGGACCGTCTTTAACGGTGCCTTGATCTTCTTAGGGACGTACTCCTCCCTTCTCTTCTTGGACTTTGGATAATATCCCTCTTTGAATTTAGACTGATAATCGTTCGAGTTACCGTCGTCGTACGAATTCGACGAGGACGCGTCCGATCTAATCGTCGGCACGTAACTCTGTTCATCCTGAACGGTCGTGCTCACTATTGCGGTGGGCTTATACGTAACTTCGGTCGTGACCTGAGAGCCGCTCGACTCCTGAACGACGCTCGACCACGGCTTGACCCCGTCCGGTAAGAATTTACGCCTCACAGCCACCCGGGTCTCCCTGGTCGGCATATACGAGGCCACGGGTATGTGCCGTTTCCTCAGCTCCGCTATCGGCGTCGGATTGTACACGCAAGCGACCGGTTTGGTGATGGGCGTGGGGATCGTGATGTGCTTCCCTATGCTCGGCGCGGTGTGTACAGCCGCGACAGAACCGGAGGACAGGGTCGGCTTAAGCTCCTCCACCACCTGGGAGACGATGTCCTGCGACACTTTCTCGGTATCGGTGACTTCCTGATCAGCGAGCACCTTCTTCACTGCCTCCGTCACCAGGTGCTGCAGCATGTCGGCGGGCTTGTCCTCCTGCGCCTGCCCCGCTGTCTGGGCCTCCGCCACGCCTGCCACTCCTGCTGCACTCCCCGCATCCTCTGTAAAATATACACGTCATCTTTCGTCCGTACGCAATTAACTTGTCGATGATCTCTCGGGATGTTTAAATCCGTAACTTTACAAGCCCGTTCGAAAAGTTCTCTTTTTAAACTTCCTGTACCCCGAGTGGTAAACCGCGTCTACAAAATTATCGACTCTGAGGTTTTCAACTCAAACGCTCCATTTATTATGTTTTTTTTAAGTACTGTCAAACTCTTTTAGAATATTACAAAGATATAAAGAAATGCAAGTTGACGTCGATTCTTGCGTTTACATTGGCGAAATATCAGTAACGACAGTTGATATCTCAGATACAAAATTCAATGCTCAAACATAGAAGTGAATGAAACGATTAATAAGAATACATATCAGGGACCAAATTGTTCTAAGATTAAATTACAACAGTCAGCGTGGCGGAAGGGAAACGTATTATTCTCTTCCAAAGTTCTTTGTTCTCCTCGGACAAAGGAAGCGAACAAAGTATCGAGATCCCGCGTGAACGATCACAAGATCCCCGCGCCTAGGCGAGGATCGGCGCGGTCGTCGCGCGCTCTCACCTCGCTTGGCGTGCTTGAAGTGACAATAGGGCCGGTCGCACGAACCGCCGTCATAAAACGGACAATTTATCGTCTTAAAGTAGCCGGTCGAGGGCAACATAATAACTGATTCATCGCACTCCGCGCTGCGGGGAGGCCATTCCTCGGCGTGCCCTCGTCGTCGTCAGTGCACCGGTGGTGCACGAGCGCGCGTTTCGCAGTCAGCGCGCCGTCCCGTTCGTCGATACGATGCTCCGCATGCTCGGGACGGGATCGCGCGATTACAATGAAGCTCCTCGCCCGCGTTCGCCGGTCGTTGAGGATCAAGGAGGAGATCGATCGTGCGGCAACTCAGCCGCAGAGGTCCACCGTGGAGGTTATGGTTCCGCGCACCCCGTAGTACCGAAGTCCGCCGCAGTCCGCCGCGCCAGGAGCAGCTGTAGCGATCTCGTTCTGCACTCTTCTACACCTGCACCTGCTCCTCCATAGGACGGTATTCATAGAGCTAGTTTACACCGATCGTTTGGTACGCGTACCAAATACTATATCGGTATCAAATCGCTTGATTCGCTCGATGTAAACGCTCGCGGATTACTTTAGTGCGCTCTGGTCTGATACTCCTGAATCGCTAGTATCAGACCAAGTTGGTGCGCGTATCAAAATATCTTAGGGCGCTGTAAACACTTGATTCGATTTGGGTCGTATTATACCCGGCATTCCTGCTAGATTGAGGTTAGAACCATGGTTCAGTTTAGCATATTGTGGTAGAAGTTTGATTTTACGTTATCCAGATTAAAAATCTAACCTAACCTGTTTTGAGACGAAATGGTGTAAACAGGGATGTATCAAATGTTTAGTCCGTACCAACTTGATGTGCGCACCAACCGATTTAACGGTGTAAACTAGACCATAGTCCGTTCTTAAGGCCTTCACACATAAAATTCCGTAAGGACGTAAAACGTAAGCGTAAGAAAATCAACAGGTTGGATTTGCTACTGCTTGCGTCATTGCCTTACGTTCTCGACTGTGATTGGTCGATTTTCTTATGCTTACGTTTTACGTCCTTACGGAATTTTATGTGTGAAGGCCTTTAAGTCCCAGTCTACAATAGATGATTTAAGCCCTAAGCTTTAAGAAATTGGCCAATCAGTCCCAGTCTACAATAGAGATTTAAGCCCTAAGCCTTAAGAAATTGACTAATCACAGTCGCGCATTCTACTCATACTTGACCGGGATTGGCCAATTTCTTAAAGCTTAGAGCTTAAATCATCTATTGTAGACTGGGACTAAGGCTTAGGGCTTAAATCTCTATTGTAGACTGGGACTAAGTCCAGATTGGCCAATTGGATATCGCGCGTCGCTCATCGCTCATCGCGTTCAGTCTGAATCCAGCCTTAGGTTGCGTTTGGAAACTTCACCCGGATGCACCTATGTATCATTAAATCCTTGTTGTTCATCGAATGTTAAACAAGAATAAAATGATACATGCTGCACCTGGGTAAAGTTTTCGAACGCAATCTTATTTTGATGCAATAGGGCCCGGTTTCACCAACGCGAGTTAATCTAATCGGTCGGTTAACTTGCCAGGGTGCCAACATAAAACTTCTTTATTAACCAAGAAAATAGGTTAATAAAGAAGTTTTATGTTGGCACCCTGTTAAGTTAACCGACCGATTAGATTAACTCGCGTTGGTGAAACCGGGCCTAGATCGAACGTTGTAAACAACTCGGTCGAAAGCCGAGAACCGGTTTCCAAGAAATGACGTAGTGCTATGGACGGAAAGCTGTAGTCTGTACACAACTCGGTCGAAAACAGTCTAATCGAATTAGTCGAGCTAGGCGAATGTTCCACGTGTTTTCGCGTCGCTCCTCGTAACACGATTAATTCCCACAAGAATTTCGGCAATTTGCTACGCACCGCGATCGTCTCCTACGAGAGATATCACCATTTATAGCGCATAAGTTATTGTCGCGACCTGTCTTGTCGGACTGCGATAATTTGTCGAGAAGAATATTACGCGTAATTTGAAGTAGAAATGTGATAAACTAATTATCAAAATTATTTAAATTTTGACAATTCACGGGCGATGCCTTTCTTAACATTCGACTCGGAATGAATCTCTCTCACGCCGTGATTTAAAATCTTCATCGGTTATTAAAATTAATCCATCGCGAAAATGATACGCGAAATATTGAATCGAGTGCTTTAATTAGCATTTATCGGTGATTTATTAATTCCACTAGTTTATATACTTTTTATGGAATTTATAAGTGAAAATATATTGACTTGAAACATTGAATTTTTAATTCTTTTCAGACAATTGCATCTCGATTAACTATTAACTCAGTTGCGTTAATTATACGCTGTCGATGTTAATATGTATAATTTTTGTGTGATGTTCTTGTACTTAACATCATGCGCATCACGCGTGAAACCGAACACACCCCATATATTACGCGCATTCATGCAATACGAACAGACCTATGGTTACACGAGATAGGCTCGCTGCATGATCTTGTCATTGCATTATCGATGATTGAAAGCTCGCAGCCTGATTGGCCGCTGCTCTCAATTTTGAACAGTGCAACCGTTTCAAGTCTAGTCAACGGACAGTTATGGCTACGCGGAGAGGAAAGTCTGTCGGGCGCGATAATCCGTTTCGTGTTTCCGTCGATTTCGGCTCGCCGTAAGGGCGAGCCCCGTGTCCGGGGTGCCGTGAGTAAGTAGCGCGATCGCAAGCTCGTTCGTGGCGTTCAAGCAGCCGCCGGGAGTAACGTGCCGGGAAATCTCGATCGTCGGGAGTGAGCCCTAGTGGCGAATCGGCGGCTTCGCGGCTATTCACAAGAGCAGTTCTTGCGTCTCGCGTGCCTTAAACCGCCGAAAACGTCGAGAGTGCAACGCGAACGGGAGTGTCGCGAGTGTCGGAAGTGTCGGGAGTGTCGGGAGCGAGAATGAATTTCATCCGTCGCGAGTGGCGAGTGTTAAGTCGCCGATGCGGCTTATACTGCGAAATATCGTATACAGTGCGATATATGTGATAGTGCATATTCTTGTTGTGAAGTGTTGTGTGAGTTGTGACCAATTCAATACAATGGGATTACTTCGCGGGAGCAACTCAACATCCGATCCAACGAGGGACCACATGATGTCTATGACCACATGATGGAGGTATGTGATACTGCCGACGCCATTACTATCACCGATCGGACATCGAGGGATCCGCCGTCGCTAGGTAAGTGCTCCTTGTTACCATACCGACGACGCGACAGTTACCTATTGCGGATGGTAACTTAAAACCTCCAGAGCGACGATAGATGGCGGCGGCGAAACTCATCGCGTCGGATATCGCATAGGATATCGCGTTTAAACTCGGAATTTTTACGTTTCGGAACTTATAATTCATACGCGCCTACCTAAAGTCGCGCTGCAGCGTCGTCACGAATGACACTCTATCGACATAAAAACTACAAGGCGTCGTCAGAATAAATACGTGGGCATAGGATATCGCGTTTAAACTTGGAATTTTTACGTTTCGGAACTTATATTTCTTACGCACCTTCTTAAAGTCGCGCTGCAGCGTCGTCACGAATGACACTCTATCGACATAAAAACT